TTCACTCATGACCACCCCGCCGAAGAATGGAGCTTTAGTTTTTTCAAAATTAATTCTGCGTGTCCCTCATTGATGTCACATGGGTTCACAGGTAACTAGCTTCATGCTAGAAGTTTTACAAACGTTCATGAGGGAAAAAGTTTTGCTTAATTTTTTCCAGTGTTTCTGTCCGTACTGAGGAATACATCCTCAAGAGTGATAGACCCACAGATTAAGGAACTTTGGTCTAGTCAGTTGTTGAAAAACAGCGGTTTCCTTCGGTGTTATGCAAAAGACGAAGTGCTACTTCAACACACTAACTTTAAAAAGACCGACTTATAGCCAGAGTTTTCCAAAATAATTCACTTGAATGTTGCCGGAGCTGTCTGAATTTCGATTACCATTGATGTGTTCTATAAGATAAAAGTAGTCCGAAACTGTTTTCATTTGTCAGAAGAACCAAGTTAATATTTTCTTTCTTTTGGTTTGCTTTTTGCTTAAATGTTCTGAGCAGGGAACCTATCTAATTGATTATTATGTAGTTTACCAAAAGTGCATGTCATTAATCTCAGAGCCTCAACCCGAGGAGTTGTATGCCACCGGGAAAAGAACCAATGTGAGTAAACAGGCCAGTGAAACGACGATTAATTCAACTAGTTTTTTAAAAGGGGATTGATACAGGTCACGTTATAATAAACCTCAGTTTTGGGCTTAATCTTCTACTGTTTAGTCTTTAAAGTTAGAAAATTGTCGTCAGGGTTACCTACATTTACAAGGGCTGCAAATTAGCTTACGTTTGATGCATGTGAATCAACTGCTTGGTCCGAACCTGTTTCTACTTCTGGTTGATATATGAGCGCATGAGTATTCCTTCTCGGTCGCCATGACAACTATAGATTGAGTGACCAGAAATGCCCAATCGATTTGTTTGATCAATAACAGCCAATGTACTTATGATTTCTGTTTGCATATGCAACAAACAAACGTGAAAATACTCGTGAAAAAGTTCCAGTTTGTAGCGAGTCAATAAAATCGTTCAGTGGCTCAGCTTTTTCCTACGCAGAAGCATTTAGAGTACAAACTTTTGTTTTTAACGTTGTCCTAATTTTACATAGCAGCAATTGCTGATTAACCCAATTGATAACAATAATTAAAAGCATTGCCATGAACTGAGGGTATCTCACCAACTAGGTTTCCGCCGACGGTGGCAACTATACTTGAGTAAGAAGTTGGCAAACTCCAGTGCCAAAATGATCACAGAAATTCACCAATACACGGTCTTTGTACAATTACTGATAATTCGGGACTCCTGCTCCTTATGAGGCGAACATCACTCATAACTTCCACCTCATAATTCTACGGACACAAAAATGTTTTACTGAGGAGTAGCTTTGCACATCCGATCCTTTTAAGGAGATCCAAATGTGAAAAATAAGGGTTTCGCTAAATTCAAACTGGCAACAGATAGAGCATACCAAAACGCGGTAAATTTTCCACCAGCCGAACTACATAGTCATGTTGGGAGCTTGGAATTTTCATATTTGGACTTTGTTATCCGTCTCACCGTCCCATATTGAATCCACCAGATGATCCACGGGATCGGTTGTCCCAACAGGATTTTTTAGTCAGCTCACGCTGAACAGCACAAAGCCAAGTTTTAGTAATGAATGGTTCTTACCTGGTTTATGAGTGCAAACAAAGTAATGATTACTTACTCACAAATGATCGTAAAATGCAAGTAACATGAAATGTGTTCTTTTTCATTGGTTAAACAAAAAGTAACCTGATGTATTGCTACTTTCGCTTTGTCATATAGTAATGCAGCAGACTGAATCTAATCTGGACAGAAATTACAAAGTGGATTGTGACCCCCCACTTCTAATGGTTTTGTGCCCACCTAGCCAACGTAGGTTCATTTAATCGCATGCTGACTGTAAGCTGAGCGTGATTCATTTATCAAATGTGCGTGGTTTTGATTCGGAGAGTTCAGGTTGTATTGCGACATACGCCAAGAGGAAATCGGATCATGGCGTTTGACAGGTGAGATATTTCTGCAATCAGTGAGGTAGAAGAAAACTAGAGCTGTCTAAACGTTACAAAGTGTATCGAACGATGGAAATTGATAATTAATCAGCGGTGGGTAGATAAGGTGCTGGAAAACTACTTAATCGAAGGAGCGGTGCTCATTAAAAAAAGAAAGTAAGTCTTCTAATGGCATTTTGAGTGTAGCTGACACCAGTCTCCAACTACACATCACTAAGTTGAGGACAACCGACCATATAAGGTGAAAAATTGCTCATTTCCGTTTGTCCGGAAACCTAGAAAAATTTCCTGGTTAACTGATCAACGCAAAGACGAAGGTTCCCGTCGACACAGGATATCATATGGATAAACGAATGAAAGACAGCAATGTTCATTACTGAAAAAAATATTTTTGACCGACTTATTAAACTTATACATTATTGATACTGTTTGAGAAAGAGCTCAACAGTGCGCAGTCGACGCTGGGTTAAAGAAAGTTTACTGACGATCTTAAGTACCTTTAATTTCAACAGGTAATGTGAGTGCGCTCTTTTGCAGGGTAAACAGTGTGTGATGTTGAATAGTTCAGGGAGGCAGTCGTTTAATGTGTACTGATGAAGTGACAAAAAATGGCTTGCAATGCGGAACACTGGTCTAATGTGGTGATCTGAACATAATTCAAACAGGAACCTGCTTCATAATACTTTGAATCTGCTGACCGATCAGAGGTTGCAGGTATACATCCAAATTGAGACTGACGGATGCGTTTAAAGTATGCTAAAATGAAATTTGACAGTCACACCTACAATTCTCGATAAACTGCACGGAAAGTGTTGCAGAGATGTCTGGGAAAATAAAGGTCACAATCCATCTTACCGGACCGTCAAATACAACAAATCTTGGATTCTGCGTAGTTATGAGATAAAAAGGTTGAGGTGAAAAAAGATTGATTTGTTCAACTGTTATCTAAAAGGCGTCCCAAAAATTGTGTTCAACGATTATAAAGTTTCAAAAATATCAGGTTTGTATTTCAATGAATCCTTACTGAAAAAATATTTTTGACTGCTAGATATTTGGACGGATATCATCAATTCATTTAAAAAGATTCTCCAAACGACACTCAGCCTCATGTTTCTCTGTAACAGTGAAAGTGGCCGAGTATATTGTGCTTGTCAGAATGACTGCTTAGTTGACGATAGACCACCGTTAACCTTCAAATGCGTAAACCGAGCAATACCTTGTTAACTGTTACAGATTAGCGTTATTTGACTGGGCTTAACTAAATTTTTGAAGATCACTTCGGGATCAGAGTATAATTCTCCTTTCCATAATATTCTATACAACTACGTGGCCACTAACTCTGGTGTATTCGACTACGCTATCCTTTCATAGTTTTATTCCCAGTTTACCTGGGTCAAATTCAATCAGCAGAATGAACACTGCTTCAGAGTACTCCAATCATCATGGCCTGTACGTAACTCTTTCTAGCGCTTCTACCACATTTCCTCTGTAACATGGTTTATCTGTCTTGGGCTGGCTGTCAAATGGTCGTAACATTACGATGTGTTAGTATTTCGTTTTCTTTTTTTTAGTGGCAGCTGATGTTTGCACTTTGTATAGCAACACGCGAAACTGAGTATTCACAAAGTATCAATTTCAAAATAGTTAGCTCTCAAACATTAGTAATCCCTTATTAACGGACTCAATCCGGTTGACAGTTAACCTTACAACAAAATCCGCACATATGTTGTGATAGATTCGTAATCAGGTGTGCAATCTAAAGTGATCATTTGCCCAATAAGAATTTTAGTTAATGCCGACCCTACGTCTCTTTAGTTATTGAATAAATAAATGGACATCAATGTGAATCACTTCAACATTTGCGCAAACAATTTCGGACTTCCAGCAAGCGCAGCCCATGCATTCATTTATTTTAATGACTGCAAAGGTGAAATTTCCATTTTCGAAGGGTACAAGGCGACCCTTCGATTTAATTGATACATACAATAAGTCTGGTATGTGTGCACTTATTGGACAGTGTATTTGGTGAAAACTTTCACAACTATAATAATCGTTATGGAAGTCCATTTCTGCTAGAAAGTACCATATTAAACGTTTATTTCTACTTAGGTTCATATACATTAATGGAAACTCGACCTTCACGCTTGTGAACAAAAATCTTGACCCTTACACCGCGACAGACACTTATTTTGATAGTGGGTTTACAATGCGTCGCTTGCAGGTACCTCAATTACTCACACATTGTACCGTCGCAACAATCACCAACAACAGATGAGGCATATGGGCGTGCCAATAATGTCGTCTGCATT